CCCTTACTTTCCTCGTCTACAAAATGGGGATAATAACAGCATCTGCCTCACATGCTACATGTTAAGAGTCTTAGGAACCTTATGGAAATGTGAGCTACTATTAGCATTATGACTTGCTTCAACAGATCTGGTGATCCTGCCACCTGTTCAAACCAGCACCCCTTTAGGCCACGTCTCACCCTGTGAGACTCCAAAGGAGCATCCATTCTATTTCATGTCATGGAAGATTTCTTTCTGGCACTACTTTGCAAAATCCTACAAAATTCCCAACTGGGTATGTAGCAAATACCCTATAAACTCCTGAATTAAAAATTTTAAATGTTAAAACATCACATTGGCAAAATGCAATCCTACGGTTAAAAAAAAACCAGAAAAGCTTTGGTATACTGGGGTTCAATCAGTAAGAAATTAATTTTAGGTTAAGTGGGTAAGCAAAAGTTAACAACTGTGCCTTTATGGGAATCCATTTCTGGCTGCTTTGTTTGGAATCTGGGTCTTAAAGACTAGCCAGACATACTTATTATTCTTTTCACATTTTACGTCCTCTCTCATGATGTAAAATCTGGGTAAAAAAAAATGGTTTTTTTATAGGGGTTAATTACATCTACATGAATTTAGCCCTAGCCAAATTATGCATAATGTAAGAGCCACTGGGTAGACCCAGAGAGCTCTGCTCAAATTACAGACCACAGATCATTTATATCATGGGAATTCAAGTTTGGCCAGTCTTTCCTAGGTTACAACCACCAGGGACCCAGAACTGTCCTTTCTTGAAACGGACAAAAGCCTCTCAGCTTTCAAAGATCAGGCCGGAACCTTTCTGTGGCCTTTGCCGGTTAGAGTTTGCATTGGCTCAGCCCAAGCACCATAGACAATTTCTGCAAACACCCCAACGTCTCTAAATTGAAGGCATCTGTACTAGGAAACACTTCTGACTTGATCCCATGATTGTGAGATATTTTGCAACAAGATTTATGCAGACTGAAGGTGGAGATAAAAGAAAACAAACCACCAACCCCTGTGGTTTCTTCAGGTGGAAATGAAGCATCATTAAAAATACTCACTCAAACAGACAAGAAGCTGCACAGAGCCCAACGACACTATCGCTGATACATTCCCCCCTCTGAAGTCCTGACCTCGATACTTCTCTCTGTAAAGATATTCTGCCCAAGACCTAATTTAAGGGAAGACACTTGACAGTTTCTCTCCCATACCCACCCAAGGTCCATTTCTTGGCACAGAGAACAGACATACAATCTTGCACAGAATGTATATTTTAAGACACTTGGCTTTCGCCGCTGCATCCTGCCGGGGGCACAGCACAGCTGTCCAGCTTTCTTAGGGTGTCTGCTCCTGACTGCCATCCAGTCCAGATTGTAAGGGCAGGGGCTGGGCTTTTACTGTTAGTTTCATGGTGCTTGGCAAGTGGGATGCGCAGGAAGACATTTAAATATAACTTGGTGAGAGTGAGGATGCTTGTGCAGGTGTCTTCTGATTCCACAAAACGCAGCTGGAATCCCATAAGGAAAACACAAGAATCTTGGGGGTAATGAACTAAAAATGTTCCTTTTTTTTTTCCATATGATAAATCTGAAACTATCTGCTGGTCTGCTCCAGCACAGAGATTGGCAACCTGAGACCTCGGAGGCGGAGCTCCAAGGTACCATTAAGCACGCCAAAAAATTCACGGTTCGATGTTTCTTTAAACAATGTTACCTGGCTTGACACCTATCCTTGAAATTTTGGCTAAGGTACAGGCATCAAAGCTTGGCTTCAAGCTGGAACATGACTGCTACAGTGACTTGCAATTCTTGGAATTCCAGGCAAACGCCTTTCTCAGCTCCATCTGTGGGCTTCACTGGGATCATGATGGTGCCTGATGAAAGCCCCTACACTGGTGATTGCCGCCTCGGAATGGCCAGGGGTATGCTTCAGGGGCTAGGATGGCCCTGGACTTCAGGTGGCCTTTCTATCTGCTCTGCCAGCACAGGTGGGTGCTGAGGGCTCTCTCTCCAGAACTACAGGACTCCCAAAGGGGCAACCTCATTGGCCCAGTTTGAACAAACAATCTTTTGAGATCTTCAACCCTGAAATCAAGTATTTATCTGTTTTTGTTTTTGTTTTTGCTGAGGCAATCAGGGTCAAGTGACTTGCCCAGCCGTCATACAGCTAGTAAGTGTCAAGTGTCTGAGGTCAAATTTGAACTCAGGTCTTCTTGACTCCAAGGTGGGAGCTCTATCCACTGCACCACCTAGCTGCCCCTGAAATCAAGTATTTATCAAGCATAATAAATGGGCCTCTCATATACTAGTAGGAAAAAAATGAATACTAATTAGAGTTGAAATTATACCGAGAAATCTGCTTGGCTACAAAAGGTGTCATCCAAATACTTCAGGAAACACAACAAAATTCCACATTTAAAACTTTTTTCATTCAATTCTTTGACTGAACACAAATCTAAGAATTCTCTGACATTTTTACATAGAATTACTTTAATGATGCCAAAATGTCCAACACCCCTCTTCCACCCCTCCAAAAAACCACTTATATGAGGACTATTATAAACATTTTATTTAAAGACAAAGTAAAAAAAAAAGGTGCACAAATACAGATTACAATATATTTGAGTATTTCACATGAAAGAAAACATGTAAAATGCACTAGTACTGAATGAGCAGAGTACCCGGAGTCCAGCCTTCACATAAACAAATGAGGTCATTCCACAAACATGTCATACTTATGAAAAATAGATCTTATTTCCCAGAAACCCAAAATTCCGACTACTCTGACTGTCCGATGCCTGATTTCCCTGTGAATGATTTTGAGACAGCCTCTACACCAACAGTTTAAAAAAAATTGGCACGGTCCTTAAAAGGTTGTGGAAAAACGAAAATAAGTAAAACCATATTTGCAATGGCAATCTGTATAAAATTTACACATCTTATTCGTTTTTAAAAATTATATTAAAACCAAAGGCCACCCTGGAGGTTAAAGCCACATCATAGAAAAATGCATATCACCTGTAACATGACTGGTAGAAAACTGTTCAGTTTTGTGCAGACATTTCAAAATGAAGACTCTAGCTACTCACAGGCCATTAAATAGTGTTTAGTGGATGAGAACAGCAAATGCACTTCTGGCCCCAACTGTTTAGTACCGAACAGCATTCCTGAAATCAGGTCATGGGATAAAGACAAAGACAACCCAAGGGATGGAGGAAGCATCACCACTTTGAGCCCAAGATCATCAACGCCTTTGGAGGACAGATTTCCCACCAATGAACTGGGGCAAACCCTTTGGGTCTCCAAAACTAATTTCAGATTATAACTACCTAATAAACAAAACCAAAAAAAAATACTATCCTTAGATTATATCTTTGTTTTCTTTGAATTTCTCTATGCAGGCTAGGCATAGGAAAAATAAAGAGACTATAGAATTGAGTGAAACCATCTCTCTAATGATACATAGCTTCTAAAGAAAAAGAAAGGAGGGGAAGAAAAATTCATAAAAGGTATAGGACCAATTCCTTAAGTCATTCTGAATTTAGGGCTACATCTGACTGCCTGTCCACAATTAAATTTTTAATAAGGTTGGGAACGTATAGGCAATTTCTATGCATAGGGTTATTTCAGCTTCCAAATTACTCTCTCAAAAAATAATGAAAGGATGATACTTTTGGCATTTATTCAGCCAATAAATTTCTTAAACATATTAATATTTATTAAAAAATAGCTTAAAAAGTCTGCCTTCTTCCTCTATATTCCACCCGTTATCTACATAAGAGTTTATAAAATCCAGAGTGAGTCGGAATAATGGCCAGTTTTCCCTAACATTTCTTACGATCATTTTTCTTGGATCTCCAGGAAGATTCCAAGGAGAAAATCAGCAAGTATTTATATGGTAATTTCCAAGAAAACTCGAATTAGGTTGCCTCGCTTGGAAGACGATGTCTCCTCCACATACCAAGTTGTAAAGGATTTGTTTTTAACCGTACGCCCATTTCACTGGCTAAATGTTTTCAAGTTTGGAAACCGCGGTAGTTCTCCTTGCTCTTCCAATTGCCTCAAAGAGACTAGCGCTGAAGCACTACAGAGCAGCTGTGGAATTCTTCCCTTGGGGGGGAAAAACAAATATCTTGTAGTTTCTCCAACTTCAACCACCTATTTTTGCTAAAGACAATTTTGACTTCCTACCTCCTGACGACCTGCCCCCTTGGTTGTTTGTACCCTGGCTCCTCTGCATCCTTCTTAGCTGATGCCCCAGATATATAAATTTCTGGCCACAAGTCCCAGAGGGGTGCTGGCTCTCCCTGGGATCCCAACAGGGCGAGACTCCGAGCCCACTGACTGATGGCTTACTGGAGTGTTTAGTGTTCTCTTGAGTGGAAAGTGTATCCTCCAGTTATAAGGAAGCAGCATCTTACACCCACAGATTTAAGGACCATCGTAAAGTTACAAGTACGATTGTTCAGAACAAGACAGAAACATAAAACTGAACTCTTAGAGATAAGGAACAGAAAATGCACTTCGAAGCCATCTTAATCCTCCAAAATGAAACTCTTCACCACCACCACCACCGCCGCCTGATGATTAGTGTTAACTACGAGAGGCTTAGACGCTGCTATTTCACAGTGTGCCCTAATGCAATGCACCAGGTCTTCTTCCAAAGCAGTAACAAGTGTTTCTTTCAAATAAAAAGGAGACTTGGCTACCTATTAGCAAGCTATAGGAGAGCCAGAACTAATCAGGCACCCCTAAACTCCAGCAGCTGCCCACTTCATTACAACTCCATCCATCCTGGTCCGAGTCTCTGGAATGTCTTTTCAGGTTGTTTTCTTGTAGTTGAACTTAAATGTGATCACTTGATCATGATGGTCAGGGATAAATGATACTGAGTGTGCCACAGTATGACAAATTTAAAATGCTCAGCTTATTCTATATGGTTGCATCCAGACTGGTAACTCGTTTATCCATGCATTATGGGACGACGCAGGCGACTGGTCAATCTTCTTCACAATCAGAACACTCTTCTGCAGACATTAAGAGGGGAATTGATATACTCGAAGCCTTCAAATTCAGACTGGTCAATCTTCTTCACAATGTCACTGTTGGAAGAGAAATTCGTTATGCTTTTAACAATATTTAAGAAGGTGGTTTTGGTAGCCATAAACTGGCCAAACTGATAAATAATGTGTATTAAAACTATAAATTAGGGGAAAACCACAAAAATGAGGATTTACAACATGTATAGGCATCCACTAAATAAGGCATCAAATAAAATGGTATGAGGAATACAAACCATTTGGATCAGGGGTCCTTAATCTGGGGTCTGTGAACTTGGATGAAGAAAAAAAAACCCTTTCTTTTCAATAACCTAACTGAAATTTAGCATTCCCTTCCATTTTTAATACGTTCTTCTAAGAATGGGTCTATCAGCCCCACCAGACTATCCATGGGGTCCAGAACATACACATACACACACACACACACACACACACACACACACACACACACACACACACACACACACACACTCTCTCTCTCTCTCACTCCAAACTCTACCCTCAGATAGACTTTAAAAAGTCAGAGAGAAAATATTTAAGAATCTTTCTAGAATATAATAAAGGGAAAATCCAACAGCCTTCTTTGTCCAGAGTTCCAGCCTAGAGTCATGGGCTTTAAAGTGAAGATCGACAAAGGCTGGGGCAGAAATGTGTCACAACCGAGGCGTCTGTTCTAAGTGGACCTTCAGATCCATCCAGATCATTCTCCTCCCCAGATTTCCTTGGGCTAAAATGACCTCTCTGTACATGAAGAGTGGTGTTTGTAAGCCTGCGAAGGTATGTTGGAGCAGGGCAAGTAGGAAGGCTTGTAAAGCCATGTCCTCCCTGGGCTGTGAGCCAAGACAATTCCAAGAGTGCATCCAGTACTATAAAAAGGACCAATAACAGGCAGCCGGCCGTTCCTGGTGAGGCATTTGTTACAGGGCTGAGGAAAACAAGCACAGACCCTTTTGGGGAGTATGGGGACGGAAAGGAGGGATTCAGGTCTCTCAGGGGCTCAAGGTGCTGAGAAGGCTTCATGTCCAACCAAGTCTCACGACGGCAGACAGAACTGGTCCTCCAATGCAGGTTCCAAGGGATGGGAAGCCAACACTGGAGATGTCTTTTCCCACTAGACTGCTCTCCTTTTGGCGATGGTGAGTGAAGGGACTTTCCTTAGAATCAGAAAATAGGAAGGCTGCCTATTCCTCCAAACGGCAAAGAGGCAGGGAACGTTTGAGCCAGGGAGACAGGAGGGAGACTGGGATCCACCCCAGAAGACCTTGAGGACCTACCGAGGCATGAGGTGAAGCCAGCCTGCCAGGGAGGGAGGGAGGCAGGGCTCTAAGAGTGTGCAACAGCTGCTATGGGCTGTGGAGGAGCAAAGCTAAGAGGTGAGCAGGACGGAGGGGCAGCTGAGATGGGATGCTAGGCCATCTCAGTCACAAACACGTCACAAAACACCCAGGCCCCATAAAACTGTTTTTAAAATGATCACGACAAGCTCCAGTCCAAGAAAAATCAGAGCATTTTGTACTGATACTTACTCATCATCTGGAGTGAGCTGCACAGGTTCATTAGTGAACTGAGAATCAAAGTTGTCCAAACCAAATTCCCCCGAAATATTTGGCTTGAAGGGAGGTACCACCTGCTTTTGTTCCATCTAGAAAGATATGTTTAATGGGAGCCAATGTGAGAAAAACAACTTTGACCTGCAACCTCATGTCTTATAAATCTCCATTTCAGACCTCAGCCCTGGCCTCAAAACCGAATGCTTCTGGGGCAGCTAGGTGCGTAGCAGATAGAGCACCGGCCGTGGAGTCAGGAGGACCGGAGTTCAAATCTGGCCTCAGACCAAACACTTGACACTTACTAGCTGTGTGACCCTGGGCAAATCGCTTAACCCCAATTGCCTACAAAACTAAAACAAATCAAAACAAAACGAATGCTCCTGTGACCAGGACCGTGTTGACCGATTTGAGCCCAACAATGGGCTAAAATTACATGTTCCCCCAGCTACATGATTCTGTTACATACACAGTAACATCCACTCTGACACATATCCTGTATATTACTATATATATATAAACACATATCTACATACACATATATTACTACACATATATACTAAATTACATATAATGTAATATATTCATATATTACTCTATGTTTAGTGACACATATTAACATATTCACACAAATATGCATATAATATATATGCATATACATCCTATATATACAATACACCAAGCATACATTAATTTATCCCTGGAGCGATCCCTCCACCAAAGCTGGTTCTGACCTCTCTATAGCTTAGATGGTCTTTACAAGTCACTCTGGCCTAAAAACTCATTAGCCCATTAGCCTGCGGCCAACTGAAAAACAAAACTTCCCCAACTGAGCTAGGTGGGTCCTCAGAGAACACAAATCTAATGTGTCCATTCCAGGCCTTCACTGCTTAGCAGGACTGATCAGCCAGAGTCTCTGTTCCTCTGACAGAAATTTAGGGAGCTGGGTCCCCTCCAGGCCATGAGGAGACAATGAAGGAGGAAGGCTGGTTCTACAAGCCATGCTGGATGACTAGGCTCAGGCCCACATGCCGGCCCTTCTAACACTGGGCAGATGACACGGTAGGTGAAGAAGCCTGGAAGGCATAACTAGGTGCTGCTCCATCTCCACCAGCTGCCTGGCCCACACTGGGATGACTCTGCCCGAACCCTGCTCTCCTGCTTGCTGAGCCCCAGATCAGGCTCATCCTGAAGTAAGAGTCCCAGACACACTACCGCCCTCCTGCTCTGGACTCCCTGCCCCTACAGCGGTGCCCTTCCTTCCTGCTCCCCAATTTGTCTTGTCTTGCCCTGTGACTGTCTCGTATGGTGCCTGGCATACGTGCTTAACGAATGCTTTATCCATCGATACCTATATCTAAAGAGTCAGCACAGCAGCAGCTATGTACTGCAGGGAAAAAGGGGATTTCCAGAAACAACCATGATGCAAAACCAAAAGGAAACAACAAAACCTGTTTAAAAACAACCACAAAAGAAGATCGACATACCATATCCCAATCAACATTTCGGAAGAACGGATGTCCCTGAATGTCAGCGAAGCCTGTCTGAGGATGACAGCCTAAGCGTTCCTTTGGGTCCTAGAGGTGGGAGAATGGCCAGTTTATTAAATGAATGCCAAAGCAAGATGAAACGTTTACATCTCTGGTATTAAAAATCTTTCACTGTTCTTCCTAGAGGCTAGAAGATTAATTCCACCAGGTTAAAAAATAAATGTTGTGTGTCTAATGCTCATGCAGTCCTGCCTCTCCTGCAAATACGTCATGCAGGTCAGTCCTGCTGCCTAAAGCATCACAGAGCCGCTGAGGCTCAAAGCTGCTTGAAACCCACATGTCATCACCCAAAACCGTCTGGTTCTAACTCAATTCTAAGCACTGCTTTATAATTATGGACAGTACGCCCAGACCTGCTGTGAGCTCATTTAGCATTTAAATGAGTCACAAGAAAACAACTTTTCCCCCTCACGGGTGATCTCCCTCATCTGATTCATTGGGTGGCAGAGGCCCGTGGCTCATGAAATCTTGGCCATGCCACTATTGTGAGTGAGGATGTGTTCTCATTTTTCTTTCTGGTTAAAGTCATTTTTAAATTTGCATATTAACACCTCTCACCTTCACTTTTCACTGTGTTAACAATTAAGTCTCAAGTTGAGCTATTTCCTCTTGAAGGTGTGCATCCCACTTGGTTCTGAAGCTGCCGGGTGGTGTTACCTTGGAAGAGGGCTGCACGCCAGCCCCCTCCCTGCCCTGTCCCCTTAAGAGACTGGCAACGGCCAGGGGAAGGGACCCTAAGCTTCCAGTCTCCATTTGTTTTCTTTGCGAGGCAATTGGGGTTAAGTGACTTGCCCAGGGTCACACAGCTAGTACAGGTCATGTTTGGTCTGAGACTGGTTTTGAACTCAGGTCCTTCTGACTTCAGGACTGGTTCTCTATCCACTGCGCCACCTAGCTGCCCCTCCATTTGTTTTTTAATGGCCAAAAAGAACACTTAATTTCTCCTAACCAGTTACTGAGTTCCCCTAGCACTTACTGCATTAATCCCCCAATCTGGCTCTTGAATTACCTCCCGCCTTGCACTGTTATTGAACACGATTAATCCTTTTTTGTGTAAGCCTGCTGGCTCAGGTAGGTGACCCACTCCTGGGGGAAAGATGGATCCTTTTTCCCTATTACTTTCAGTCTCTCCCAAACAATTATCCACAAAGTGGGCCCTGGATCCAGCTGCCTCTTGGGGAGTCAGTGGCCTATTTACTGTTCCACAGTGACTTCAAACACAGACCTGGTGAAGGGGGCGAGGACTGGGGGAAAAGCTGCTTACAGATGACATTTACGTATAAACCAACCTCATCTCACCTCACTCACTAGGGAGGAATTAAGGCAATAAAATGAAAAGGTTTCATTAAGCATAGTCACATAACCTCTAAGAATACGACTTCCGAATGAATTGAAAACTAAGAGACTTTGCTGCACATCTGGGACTCTTGAGCTCTAGGGTCCCTTGCTTGGGAACCCCATTTCCCAGAAGTGCAGCCACGCATAAGACACCCACAAACACCAACTCTTACTTTATTGAGAAAACTCTTCAGAACACTCGCAGCTTTGACAGAGAGGGAGCGGGGTATTCGAATTTGCTTTTCCAAAATAACTAGAAAGGAAAACAGTGAAGAGATTATATGCCAGTTTTAAAGAGCTCCCTAACTACTAAAACTACATCTCCCTGCTGACCTCCACTCTTGCATCTCCAACTAGATGTTCAGGAGACTTTTTTTCTCCTAAAATTTCTTATTTTATTTTTTTCCCACTTAATAGTATTTTATTTCTTCCAATTACATGTAAAGGTAGTTTCCAACATTCACTTTTATAAGATTTTGAGTTCCAGATTTTTTTTCTCCCTCCCTTCCCTATCCCTTCCCTGACTGCAAGCAAGCTGATATAGGCTATACATGTACGATCATGTTAAACATATTTCCACATTAGTCATGTTGTGAAAGAATCAGAACAAAAGAGAAAAACTACAAGAAAGAGAATACAAAAAAAAAAAACCAGAGAAAGAGGAAATCATGTGCTTTGATCTGCATTCAGACTCCACAGTTCTTTCTCTGGCTGTGGACATGAGTCTTTTGGAATTGTCTTAGATCACTGCATTGCTGAGAAGAACTAAGTCTGTCAAAGGTGGTCATCCCACAATGTGTTGCTGTGTACAATGTTCTTGTCCAAGAGACTCTTAAAATCACTATAACCAAAACGGAACTCAATCTCTTTCCCCAAAACCCTCCCCCCACCCCAAATCTCCCCATTACAGTAGAGGACAAGGCCATCTTCCCATCCTTCAGGCTCCCCACCTAGGAGTCATCCTGGATCCCCTCACCTCTTCTCCCCTCCCCCACATCCAAGATGTTGCCAAGACCTGCAGATTTCACCTCTGCCACATCTCCCCAATAGGCCCCTTCTCTCCCCTAACACTGCCCCTACCCTGGTGCAAGCCCACATCCTCTCACACCTGGGCTACTGCACTAGCTGCTGGGGGGGGGGGGGAAGGGATCTGCCTGCCCCAAGTCTCTCCCCACTCCAGTCTAACCTCCATGCAGCCACTAGAGTGATTTTCCTAAAAAACCAAGTCAGATCATGTCACCCCCTACACAGTAAAATCCAGGGGCTATCACTTCCAAAACGCTCTGTTTGGCCCTCAAAGTTCTTCATAACCTTGCCCCCTCCTGCCCTTCTGGTCTTTTTATACCTTACTCTCTGAGACACACTCTTCTATCCAGTGACACTGATTTCCTGACTGTTTCACTTAGGAGACATTCCATCTCTCAATTCTGGGCATCCTCCTTAGCTGTCCCCTGTGACTGGAACCATGCTCCTCCCCTCTAATGACCTCTCTGGCTTCCTTTAAACCCCAACTCAAATCCCACCTTCTACAGAAACCTTCCCCAACCCCTCTTAATTCCAGTGCCTTCCCTCTGTTAACTGTCTCCTACTGATGCTAAACAGAGCTTACTTTGTATATATTTATTTGCACGGTGTCTCTCCCATTGGACTGAGGTCCCTAAAGGCAAGGATAGTCTTTTGCCTTTTTTCTTGTCCCTAGCACTAAGCATGGTACCTGGCACACAGCAGGTGCTTAATAAACGTTTAACTGTTAAGTTATTGAAGGTGCTCAAAAGGTCACAACTGAAAACATTTCATTCTCTTCTTTTTATGGGCTGCAGGTCTTGTCCATATTCCATTGTGGAAACTGCGTCTGTTTCCACCTCCTCCCCTGTATCCCCTTTATTTCTGGGCATGGTGGCTACTTTTCTCTGTCTTCTTCTGGGACTCCTCTGTAAAGTTTCTCCTAATTAGGGTGTCTCTGGTTACTGAATTCTCTCCGCTATGACACTGCCCAAGCAACGCTGAAAACACTACAGTGTTTCTTTGGGTGTGCAGAGCTAAGCTGCTTATTTCTGCCTCTGGGGGCAAGAGGGACAAAACGCACCAGAAGCATGTACAAACTGAGCTGGGGTAAAACCCCAGGCTGCTGCCAAAGATGACAGTACAGCCAGGCTCCTCAGAGAAAGCTCCCTGCTTCTTATCTGGGTCTCAGGAAAGACGATTCTCAGGAAAAGCAAACAAAACTTTCTTTTGGCCTTTCTTTGTACGCTCAGCATTCACCACAGTGTCTGGCACACAGTAAATGCTTCATTTCTGCTGACCGAATGACTGTTAATCACCTTGAAAGAGATAATCCTCTGTGTTCTGATCAGGGTTATCAGAGCTCCCAACAATATCAAAGGGAGATCTTCCTGCCATCATCTCAAACATCAGCACGCCAAGCGCCCACCAGTCCACACTGAAACCTTCAAAAAAGAGGTTTGAATTAATGAAGGAAAAAAGTAGTCAACCATCATTTCTTAATGTCTTTATTACCTAATAAATGCAAGTATTATGTACTAAATGGTCTTCTAAATGCATTCCAACCTGCATCACCAAGTCACAGGGTTTATAAGTCGTGTTAAATTAAATAAAAAGATGCATTCCTGAAAATTTGTTCGAGAGAGTAACTTTCAGAAAATGAATCTTATAAATTTCCATAACTCCAGAGGTTAAACTGCTACAGATAAGCTCAGATCCCAGGATAATGAAAACTATATCTAAGGATAAAATAAACCTTCATGGAACAATGTTTCTGACTAGGGGAGGTTCCTCAGGCCTAATGTCATTGATCATTGATGGAATGTCCCAAAAAGGCCAACTATGGCCATTCAACTCAATTCAATTTTCCTCTTGGCATCTAATGAGCAGTAAGGAATCAAACTGTCACACAGACAGAGCCATAAGCTACAAACAGATGGAAAGAGTACAACATGACCAATCTTTTCCTTCATAGCTGAGATATCGAGGGTGAATCTTCCCACCGGTAAGTGGGCATCCCATATGCAAAACACCCTTTGGCAACATCCCCCTTCCAGGTCTTTAGCTATGGGCAGATCAAAGAACCTCGCTACACTTCCCCCCCTCCCATTTCTAATATAGTTAGGGGCTGGGGATGTTCACTATATTTCCTATATACATTTTATTCTAATAAGGTCAACATTAAAACACTGGAAAACTCTACGGTAAATGCCTAAAACAAAGGATAATAAAAAAAAAATATTTAATGGAGTCAAGAGTTAGACCATCCACTGCCTAGGCACAAAACAAAACAAAAGAACACAAAGAGCTAGTTGTTGATTACCATAATCTTCTCCTCTTAAAATTTCAGGAGCAATGTAATTTGGAGTGCCACAGAAAGTACTCGTTGTGTCTCCTGGCCTTAATCCTTCCTTTAGAAAAGAGACAGAGTGAAAAGTGGTGTCAGAGGAACTCCAAATTGTGCTTTCAAACTATATGCCCCATCTCAACCTCCTACGTCCAGCGCTGGGCAGATAAGGTTAAGAGTCAACCACTCCAGACTTAGGGGAACTCAGCCCTCTTCACACCCTCTGTGTTCCAGCCAAGACAGCCCTTTGCTGCCCCTCACTCTGGACCCTCCGCTTTTCCCCTCATGCCTTTGCTCGGCTGGTCTCCATGATGAAACACACATCTTCCTCACTTCTGCCTCTATGACTCCCCAGCTTCGTTCAATGCTAAGCTTAAACACCAGGTCTTTTGGAGCACCAGTCTCTCCCCCACCCCTATGACCTTTAATTTACTTTGTATGTAGTTTGATTTGCTGATATGTTTATAGCTTGTTTTCCTCTGATAAGCACATGAACCCCTTGAAGGCAGGGCCTGGCCCACATTTAAATCCTAAGTGCCTCACATATGGCAACTGCTTAAGAAATGCTTACTGATAGCCTGATAGCACAATGATCACTTTTTAAAATGCCCATGATATCCTTCATATATATGCAGCTCAAAGAACATCTGTCTTCACTACTACCTGTTTAGAAGTTGGCCAATTATGACAACCACCACCTTTTCAAAAAGATCTGACTTTATTCCTTCCCACCCTCTAATTTCAAACTATGCTAAAAAATTATATCCCACAAACACCCTGTTTTAAAAACCCATGCCCAAGTGATGATGTTTCGTTAATTCTACTAGAACTGTCCCAGCACACAGGAGCTATATTACGGCTATGATATGCAGGAAGCAGGTTAACCACTAACAATTTCAATAAGCCTACATACTGTCATTGGTTTGTAAGCAGCTTTGAGGAAGGACAAACGATTCTCTCATGATGCTACATGAAGTTTGTCAGGAAGCCTTTATCACCTCGATAGAAAGTCTACACAACACGAGTACAAACCACCAAGAGAGGCATGACTCTATTTCGTGCCTGAAGTTAGTGAATCAAAATTGTTCATGAAACATTTCCAACGTAAATTCAAAGCCAGGTTAGATGAACTCATAGCAGAGGGCCTCCACCCACTAGCAAAGTCTACACAATGTAAAACCAGCCAGTGGAAACCTGAAGAAAGTAACAGGGAATATTTCTGGAAGAAAACTGTGAAAATGCTTCACAAAGTGTTTCTGATTTCCAAAAAACCTGTTACAAGAAAAAAAATTCATCCAACATTAACATTTAGCCAAAGGCATTAAGTGACTTCTCTCCTTCACCGGCCTCAAATCTTCATATAGGAGGTTTTTGTTGGGGGGAGGGGTGTGCTTTTAGTTTTCCTGAAGGTTAAAGCTTGCTAGGTAGTGGGGACCAACTTCAGATGCCACCAGGTCAGGTTCTGGAATCTAAATGAAACCCTTTTTCACAAAAAGCAAGCAAATATACATGTCTTTTTTAGCTAGATCATCTAAAGGTCACTAAATTTCTCCAGAGCATCATATAAATGGAAATGAACAAACAAAATCCTCTTCTGAACAAAGGAAAGATGAAAAGTATCTGTAACAAGTCCCTTTATTCTTATAATTTCTCTTCTTAAAGAAATGAAATTTAAAACTTCCTGAGAAATATGCCATGTTTAACATTTAAAAAATCCTGAACCTAAAATCCCAAAAAAGAACATTTTCCCACAGACAGCAAACACAAAATGAGGATGCTACATGAAACTGTGAATCTCCATTTCACACCGCTCGCTTTCTGTAAAAGTATATGAGCTGCTTTCCAAACCGTCCTGCTTGCCTGTGCCTCTCTCTAGACTTCCTCCTGTCCTCTTCTGGGCATTTAAAAAAACTGCTGCAATGGTGTGTGCTACGTATGCTTCTGAAAGGGCAGAAAGGGATCCAAAAGGCTTTGAGCAAACCACTATAAGAAAAAAAAAAGCTTCTCTCCAAAGCCAGGGAAATCTATGGGAAAAGGGCTCCAGTGAGATGTCCTTCCCTCGTGCGCAGCAGTAACAATATGCCAGGGAAAGGCTTAAAGACTCTTTCAGGCCCCACAACATCAGAGCTTACAGTCAGCACTTAAATAAGGCCAACTCTGCCCATGAGGCTTGGCAGCTGTGCTGAGCTCAGTCAAGGAGACTTCTGGCCCCTCCTGACCGGGCAGAGATTACTGCTCGGAGCCCCTGAACAAGGGGTAACAGTGGTCCTTAGTTCTGGCTGAAGAGAGAAGACCCTCCGAGTGAAATCTTTTAAATTGAAAGACAAGAGGATTCACACACTCGCCTCATCTACTGGAGTCTAGAGCAAAACAGATAGACAAAAACTTCACTGATTCTCAGCTGCTCCTGTCATGTTTGTGTAACAGCAAGGCTGCCCACAACTCTTCCTACCCTCAGTGAGGCTCACAGAGGAGGCAGCATTTAAAAAAGGAAGAAAAAGAGCTGGCTGCAGCATCCTGGAATGCTAGGGTTTTAGAAAGCGCCTTGTTGTAAGCAGCCCTTTTCCCACCACCCTCCTCTTCCTCCCCTCAGGTCTCTTCTTCCTCCTCCTCCTTTCCTTCCTCCTCCTCCTCCTCCGACAGCAGAGATTAGCAGAGGCAGCCCCCTTTATGAAGGGCTAGCAGCCCCCTCCCCAAAAGAGGCCTCTCTCTCTCACCTTACACATGCCATAGTCAGTGAGCTTAATGTGTCCTTCAGAATCCAGCAACACATTGTCCAGCTTCAGGTCTCGATAGATTATCCCTCGTTCATGAAGGTAATTGAGTGCTAGACTTATTTCTGCAGAATAAAATCTAGGATGAGATAAAAAGGTCACTGGTTTGCTTCAAAAGAAATGTACACTAAACCTTACATTACATAGCGTCCATTTGGGAGGGACATGTACATGTAATTGTTTCACAAATATAAATAACACTCAAATCACATTAAAAGTTCTTTTCTCTGGTTAGGAGTCGAAATTTCTAAAGCATACTAAAACAGTCCTTTCACACCAGATATCAGGCCCAGCACATAACCAGCTAGGAAACACAGTCAACACCCCTGAGTATTTTAAAATATTATTTTTTCATTAAAGTACTGTTTCACAGAAATCTTTTCATACCTCAAACAGTTTAATGGATGACCTAAAACTACCAACCCTTCCAGCAAAAATCTGTCGCTCACATTGGACTCTCAGAAGAAGGATGAAAAGAAAACATTTCGGTCACTGGGTAATATAGGATCACAAAAGGCCTCCTATGATGCCTCGAGCGTCTCAGAGGTTGTAACCATGGGCTCTCCAAGGCTCTGGGGGGAACCAGGTTCTGGAATGCGGCCTGTCTGCTGTCCAAGGACCTGCCCAGCTACGTTCAGAAAGGCTCAGTATCAGAGAAGTGACAAACGAGGGGATAAGTTTTGCATTTTTAAATCCAACACATTTTTAATAACCAACCATCATGGTGGCACAGATGTACTGCTTCATATGTCAATATATCATGACACTATTTGGCCTGTCAAAGTTTTATACATAGAAGGCACACAAAAGAGCATAGGAAAATATTATTTAGTAGCTATGTCACCACTGGCATAATTATCTCAAATGAAGCACACCCAGCTGTCAAGGAAAAATAATTCCTGAATGGAAGGGCACATTAAGTGATTTTGTTGTTGGTCATGGTGTTGTCCATAGCAACCCATGAAACTGTCCACCAAAGCAAGGAGGCCGTGAGGGGCGCTGGCAGAGGTCATGCCCATAGAGGGACAAATAGAGGGTCTTTTAAAGGATTGGGAAAATATTCGGGCATTGTGAGTACAGCAAAACAGCAAATTCTTGCTCTAAACCTCACTGGATAAACTCTCAAGATGAAACAAATCTCAACAAAATCATTAATTAGTTTCATTGTCTGTAGCATTCTTGGAAAAAACTGTCCTTTACTAGTTGAATGGCCCAGACCATCAGGAAACACTGTGTCTGGGTCCAGGACCATCCATCTACTTTCCTCACTGAAATGACACTGATTCTGTATGCGTGCAGGGGTTTTTTTCAATTGATCCTATCTACAGGTAATCGATTTTGTCCTGTAACTGCCAAAGTCAAAGTTCTTTGTCTCTCAACTTAGTTCAGAATTCAGCTGTCCTGCAATGAGCTAAGTTTAGAAATCCGGTTCCCTTGTTAATCACTGTCTATTCTTGTCAAGGAAATCTGTTACCCTTGAAGGAGGCAGGTGGACACCAGGGAGTCTGGTCTAGTATCTTTACACCACCAAGCTATCTTCAAGGATGTCTGGTTTTGTTATCCAAAGTCTGCTTTGCTATCTCTAACCTAGCAGGTAGACTCAAACAATGAACATTCCTTAGTCAGGGGAGAGAAGGCGGGAGTTGCTGCTAGCCCCATTCCCAGTTTCCAACCAGTTAGACTGTCCCCCACACCTCAGCTCTGTAACCACTCACCCTGATTTAGCCATTTACGATGCTGATCTTTAACCCATCATCACTTGTTCCCTGCCTACAAAATCCTGATCTTTGTTCCCTAAAAACTACAAAGACGGCCATTCTCCAACTCAGAGTCTTAGCTCGGCTGAGATCCTATTTACTGGTAAATTCATGTTTTACTAACAAGTCGAATGTTCCTGGAACTTTGTGCCTCAGTTTACCTCATCCTGACTATAACTTTGTGCTATCCGAACTTAATATGTCCCACTGGCAGACCAGCGAGCATGGCTGCAAGTCATTCTCAGTTCAAATAAATCATCATAATTGATAACAACAGTACAATTATGGTGCATAATTGGAGGCTGTATCCATTTGGGTTTTACTTTCTTGAAGAACACAATACAGGAATTGCTGCTGACTTACAAATAGGGGGAGAAAAACCAACTGAGCCACTAAGGGGAAGGAAGTGGTTTGTCCAAAGTGAGACAAAGCAGAACCCGCCCTGATTCCTGATCTAGGCCTCTGACCTCTTCTCAAGAAAGGTCAATCTAAGTCATCTCCCCAAACTGATACAAGAGCAAAGTTACAAAACACAAGAGGGTCAAGGGAGTTTTCCACCTGTTCATTAACACTGAAGACAGAACTATGCCCTGCAAATTTAAAGCCTGATCAATGCAAAAATAAAGAGGCAGACCAGGCTTTAGTAATGATTTAACAGAAATATACTGCAAGCACTTTCAAAAACATATATAAAATGAATTTGACAGTGTTGCCAATAAGAGGGCCTCCCAGATGAATTCTAAAAAAAAAAAGATGTATAATTAGCATATCATTATGCAAATAGACCCTAAAACCAAGGGCAAACATTCCCCTCAAAATGGTATTTGTACTATTCATTTGCTTAGGAGCCCTTTGAAAGCCTACATTAACGTACATCAGGATATATTTAATAAACACTAAAGCAAAGCTACAGTTGTAGGCCAGTCTCTGTTTGATCCAAAGGAGTAGGTGGGATGTGTGCGAGGGTTTGTCACTGGTGGCTCCTAACCCACCCCGTGGAATATCACACAACATACCTAGCATGTTCTTCTGGGAGCTTCCTCTGTCGCTGCATATGAAACATGAGATCTCCTCCATTTACATACTCTATCACAAAGAATAGCCTGAAAAAGAAGGGCATCTCTCAAACTCCACTTGGTGACAAGGCCTTCATTCCAGGGCTGCAGACAATATAATGGAGACCAGCCAGCACGTAACCAGGGCAGTGAGGAGGACCAGGCCACAGAGACAGTGCACAGAGAAAGGCGGCCTGTGGGACGAAGGAAGGGGGCCCACACCCAGGCCTCTGGCTCTCCTGGGGATGGACGCTGGTGAGACCACAGCCACCTCCTCTACTGACCCCTTCTTCTCCTGGCAGTACCTCTGGTCATCACACCACCAAGAGTTCTAGCACCTTCTACTCAAAAGCAGCAGCTCTGTCACTCCAGGACACTGACCATACGGGTCATTTCTAACTTTATAGCACCCAATAGGATAATGTGTGGAAAGATCTTCAGAAACCTGGAAGCCCCAGAGAAATGCAACAGGATCCCAGCAGCTCATTCACAATGTCAATATTCCCAAAAACAGCTGGGTTTCTTTTTTGTTGTTGTTTTTTGCTATTAACTTATTCTTTCTTCAGCTGCCAAGCCTGAGAGCTGGGAACCTAGTTTGGGAGCCCCCAGATCTTACATCTGCTTCTGTGCTATTAGAATGAAAGCTCTAGGTGGGCAGGGGCTGGTTTGGCTCTTTATTCGTAGGCCCAGCGCTCAGCACGGCTCCTGGCACACAGCTGCTGACTGACTGAACAGACCGCCAGCCTTGGTGGGAGGGAGCGACCCTGGAAAAGTCTCTCTGATGTAGCTCCCTCACTGGTCAAGCTAGGATACTTCTTGATTCCCAGGATTATCATGAGGGCCCAGGAATTCTTTGTGTGAAGTGCTTCATAACCACACAGCCTTAAGGCCATGTCAGCTCCTGACTACAGCCCTTCCTAGGAAAACCTCCCCTTGAGTTCTGCTCCAGGGGTCCACTAGGGCACAAGTGTCCAAAGGCCCCATCCAGCAGGGATGGCTCTTCAGCAACAGATTTCGGCCTGCTGCCTAAAGGTCAGTCAGGTGAATTCTGGAAGGGCTCCTTAGCAGAGTGATTGCATTTAGGGACTGTGGCCCACTCAACAACCTCTATGAAGAATATGCTAGAGACCTGCACTGAGCACTATGGCAGCCCCACAGCATTATGGTTTGTGACCATACAGGCTTCATCTTTCTTGGTGTAAAACCTTCCCAAGCAACACCCTAAAATGTGCCCAGTTCCTTATTCTCTCTCTATTCCTTCTCTTCACTCTTACCTGCTTTCCGTCTGGAAGCAAGAGTGCAGGCCAACGAGGAAGGGATGGTTGGATGCCTGCTCAAAGACGTGCTTCTCTGTCTGCACCCAATCGATGTCCTGATAAAACACAGGAGAGCAAACCCAAAGCCCTCAGATTCTCTCATCCACATTCTCCAAAAAAAAGCAATTAGTATTTTGTCCCTAGGAAATCAGCAAGTTCAATAACCAAGACACAGGTGACAAAATGATCTTTTCGCAATTCATCTCACCATCAATTCACAATCTGCAGAACGGGATGCACACAGACATGTGAGATAAAGCAAAGGAGGAAATGCTGCGCTATGCACAGTCCATCCCAGAAGCACACGACTGTAGAGATGGGGGGGGGGACCCCCAAGGAGGGGCCACGGAGACCAGCCCTGATGGAATGCTGAAGTGTGAAGCATTTCCCTAAATGGGAAGCTTCCTCCTGAGGATGGGGTCCAGAGTCATTCCTCTTCCTTAAAGGGACAGGTAGGGAAAACTCTACCAGCTAACTACAACAAGTCCAGTTACATAATGAGATGGACAAGGAGAGGTAAAAAGCACCAAACACCCATGCGGTTGGTGCCAGGGCCTCCTCTATTGTAACCCTGTGAATCTCAGGCTGTATGGCATTCTCCATGCGGTCTTAAAGAGTCAAAGGGCCACTCACCTCGTCATCATTGACCAGCTCCTTCTTCACGACCTTCATGGCATAAATGCGCTCAGTTTTTTTCAGTCGCACCAACAGCACTTTGGCATAGCTCCCCCTTCCTATTACACGGAGCAAATCGAAATCCAGGAGACCCAGACTAGACGAAGCTTTGCCACTGTCCCTAGTACTCATTGCCTGTTAATGGAATGACCATTTTTAAAAAACGCCCGCTTAAAAACATCCAATTAGAAAGACACCAGTGAAAATGGAGATTCTATACATCCATGACATTTCTTGAGGTCAGGAAATAAAGGACTAGTGAAAGAAGGAAGGGAAAACACTCACCTGGAAGCCATTTGTAGAAGAGATAGAGAAGGAAGGAGCAATGGGAAATCATTAGAGTCCAGGCAGAGGAGTTTAACTTGTGTCACAGGCCCTTAGTGACCATTTTCAATGTTGCATTGTGTTTTTATTTTCTGGTTAAATATTTCCCAATGACATTTTCATCTGGCTCAGCATGCCCTATGATGCCCAGTGTCTGACACTTCCGGTGGACAGCCAGGGCGGCCCAAAGAAAGCCCACTCAGGCAGGAAGGGGCAAGCAACATCATCACTCAGTACAGGGCTCCGGGAACCTTTTCCCCCAGGGCAGGCTAACAATTAGCCAGTTTTAACAATTTTAAATTGGGCAATTATTAGCAATTAGGACCTTCTAGAAGGGTAGTTTCTCGACATGCTGGCAACAGAAACCAGAAGAGGTTAAGGAGGAAGTGGGTGGTAAGGAAATGAGACAGTATACCGTGAGGAAATCATTTTACACTTCTTTTCAAAGGGCTTATAGGTTAAGAGACTAATCAACTGGATAAAGGAGTGGGTCCTAACATGCCCTTTCATCTCCCAGCAGTGCTTACCACAACACTACAGTTCTACCACATAATAAACAAATGTTAAATTTAAATGTTTTTTAGAAAAGGCCAGGATTTTTCTAGACCTAAGACCCTTTTCTAAAAGAAAAACAGGAATTTGGTTATTTATTTTTTCCCCAGAGAACAGAAGAATCTAATATTATCTTAGTAAAGATCGCTAGGCAACCATTTGATGCAAATTAATCAGTAAACATGGAGCTGTTAGCTATTAGATGGAGAAGTCACCATGACTTTGAAGCCAGCTGCCAGGGAACTACTTACTAGGAAAAAGCTATTCTGTGGTTTGAGTGTTTGCACATGTCCTTTTCTCTCTTTCTCTTGGGTCATGAGAAGAAAAGGAAGCAATGAAATTGAAGGGAGAAAACGGGTGTCTTTTCATGGGAGCAAAAAACCAGGGGGAAAAAAAACCTTGGTGCCCATCCACTGAGGAATGTCTGAACAAGCTGTGGTATGTAAAGGATATAAATATAATGGAATTATTATTGCACCATGAGAAACGATAACAGGGTGGGCTTCAGAGAAACCGGAGAAGACAGGACTTCAATGATGCAGGGAGAAGGGAGCAGAACCCCAAGTCACTCAAATGAAGCAGAGGTTTAATTGATGCTGTGTCCAAGGGGCCCAACTTGACTTCAGGGCCTACTGAGGGAAGCCCTCTCCTCCTCTTAGCAGAGAGGAGGCAGGCCACAGGGGCAGAATTAGACCATACTTTCACAAATGGCCAGACGGAGGGTTTGTTTTGTTCTGACATATTCTTCTTCATTACTGGGAGGGTTCCCCTGAAGGGCAGGGTCATTGAGAAATGAAAGAAGCATCAATAACACACTTTTCAAAATGAGCACAGGTGGATAAAACGCCATCCTCCTGGACGGAAATCACCAGCTGAAGACAAGTTTTTTATAAAGACTTCTGAATGCCAAGTTCCCTGTAGACATCACTCTATAATGCCAGAGCTGAAAGGGCTCTCAGAAATCACCTCCTCCAGTCTCTTCATCTGAGAGAGAGGAAAAGGAAGCCCAGAGGTGAAGGAGTGGCCCAGGTTCATAAAGCAGAAGCTCAGAGGTGAAGGGGTGGCCCAGGTTCACATAGTACCTCAAGAGGAGCAGAGTCAGCATTCCCCAGATGTTCTGACACCCTGGCTCCTGCCCTCTTAGATTACTTTATAATCCCCCATTAAATCGACAGCTGGCTAACAGAACTGTCAGATACAATAGGCCAAGTGATTTTTACCTCCTTTTCTTCACCAACATGGTCCAAACTCTCATGACTTGAAGGGTTATATGGAATCACTAGAAGAAAAAAAGACATCATAAAAATGGATAAAGAAGGTAACAAGTCACTAAAACAAAAAGGACCCATCTCTCGAGATGTAAGTGAAGGAAACCCTAACTCCCAGTATGTCAACAATCCCTGATTTTCACCATTTCTATCTGCCCAGGTCCTTTATGAATAAGGTTTGTTGCCTCTCTAACACATCTGTGGGAACTCTTTGCCAGAAGCCGAGACGCCAATAGTTTCTTGCCTCGTCATGATGATAATTTCATCCTTGAACAGGGTGGAGAAGCCAGTGAGTGGAACTTCTATTCTGAGTCAGATTTTCACTAACAAAGAGGAACTATCAGCTGGGGTAGATGGAAATGATGGGTGATGGGGGCCTTACCAGAAGGAAAGGAGGATCCCATGGACTAAACTTCTACAAGGGGAAGCCAGCCCAGGATGACAGGATGCCCTCACGATTGAAATTCTGAGGCCACAGAGACCATTTCAGTGAGGAAGAAAGATTAAAAAAACAAATGAGCAAACAAAAGAAATTCAGCCAATTTAGCTTCAAAAAGACACGTGAAGAAGAAGGAAGCAAGAGCAAGTGATGGTGGGTGAACACAAATCTGCTGCTCAGGCCTGCCGGAATGGCATTAGGCGCCTAAGGCTCAGAACAATTAGAAGCTGAAGGAAAGTTAGACAACACCAGGGTTTGGTTTTTACAGATGTTTAAGGGAGGCAGGGGATGGAGGATGGAAAAGGGGATGGGATCAAAGTTTGTGATGAATGGTACAGAGAGAAGGTAAAACTACTAGACTCATACAGGACTGAGGGGACTTGGCTGCCCTGAAGGAGCACAGATCAGCTTGATCCCAATACATCCAAGAGCTGCCTGATGTCAACGCTAAGCCACATCACTGGAGATGGACAAATCCTGTTCCCATTCTCACAACAGAAGGGTGGGGTTGGCAAACAAGAGGTCATTGTACTTAACTGTGATTCCTGGAAAACTTCTAGAACCTCTAGAAGAGGAAGCAATGACCCAATGAGCATCCACTAAAAGAAACAGCTGCCTCAGAGAGCCAGTGCGGTTTTGTCAAAGACAGGTCATGCCACACTGCCTTCACTTCCTTTTTCTGATAGAGTTGACAAGTGACATGCAGGGATCCTTCCCCTAGATCTTAGCCAAGCACCGAAGAAGATACTGCGCATGTGGGCTAGGCAAGAGTGCAGGACAGTGGATCTGAAGCGGGTCAGCTGCCCGACCACCAGGTCAGCTCGGAGGGGTCTGTAGCAGCTGCACTGCTGACCATCTTTATCCACGACCGGAATAAAGACACAGACGACACCCTTACTAGATGTCCAAAAGATGCAAAGCTGGTGAGTGACAACAAACACACTGAATGACAGAGTCAGAATAAAAATAAAGACTTTTATCAGCTAGAACATTAAGCTGACTAAAGAAATGCAACAGAAATAATTGGGTTTATAGGAGTAATTTTGTAAGTACGAGTTGGGGAGGCACAGCTAAACAGTTTATATGAAAAAGATATAAAGGAAGTGTTTTGTTTTTCTTTTTTTCCCAAGTGGGAGGAAAAAGAATGGGAGAGAAAATAAATGCTTGTTGATGGTAAAAAAGAAAAAAAATTTAATCTTAAAATAAAATGAAGTTTGAAATAAACTAAGTCTCATAAAGGAGCAGCTAGGTGGCGCCATAGTGCACAGAAGACTCATCTTACCAAGTTCAAATCTGGCCTCAACCACTTACTAGCTCAGTGACTCCTGCCTTACTTTCTTCATCTGTAAAATGAGCTGGAGAAGGAAATGGCAAACCACTCCAGCATCTCCGTCAAGAACACCCCAAATGACATCCCAAAGAGTCAGACACAACTGAAAAACGACTGAACAACAGGTTTCTTTGGGTTTCTTTTGAAGGCTCATAAAGATGGGAAAGTTTTCAGGCAATGCAAGGGCAATGACCGGACGATGGGATCTGCTGTCCAAGAAAGTGAAGCCCGTCTCAGGCTGTGCCAGGACTAGGGAGGAGACTCCTGATGTCCTCGGCCTTGGTCAGACCACAGTGGGAAAGCTGCGTTCAGCTTGGGGCACCACAATGTAGGAAGCCCACTGGTGACCTGGACAACATCCAGGCCGTGTCACAAGAGGATCATCTGAACAAAGTATGATTAACCTGGAGAAGAAGAGATTTCCACGAGAGTGTATAATGACTGTCTTCAAGCACATGAAAGGCTATTATGTGAATGAATGATTATGATTAGATTTGTTCTACTTGGCCCTGGAGGGCAGAAGGAAGCGTAAGGTGTGGAATTACAAAGAGGCCAAACAAAACAGGCTTCTCACTCTTGGATAACTCTTTTCCAAGAGATGGGGGGGGGGGAGAAAGCTAGGTGGTGCAGTGGATAGAGAACCGGCCCTGGAGTCAGGAGAACCTGAGTTCAAATTCGGCCTGAGACACATAATACTTACTATCTGTGTGACCCTGGGCAAGTCACTTAACCCCACTGCCTAGCCAAAAAAAAAAAAGAGAGAGACATGATGGGATACTCTTTACTGGGTCCCTTCCCAATCCTTGCACTCACTGCCCAGAGACCCTCCTCTAGGGGTGACAGACATCCTGGTATCCTGGATTACAGACAGAGACTGAGGGGATGTACAATATGTACGAGGACAAACGTCCTCTGTTGACTCTCCCAAAGCGTGTGACCTCAGGCAAGGCCCCAAGGTCACAGTGCTCAGCTTGTTTCCTGTTTTGAACATGAGCATTGGCCCTTAAGATTCCCTTCTCATTCGAGGATTCTCAGTTTAACAAGAAATCTCAATGTTATTAGAACTGTATTCAAACCAAGAAGTCAAACAGATGATCCCCTCCCCCAGCCCCTCTAAAACAGCCTTGTCCTCCTGCAACCTTCCCATTCCCCTGAAAAGGAGGCTGCACTGAGTCTTACCTGTCTCTACGTTGTCTGAATGCACAGAGGTTTGGTCCATAGGCATCAGCGGCTCCTGGAGAAAGATTGCAACAGGTTCAGAGACTGTACCTTCCTACGTTCTGACAAACGTTTCACTTTCAGCAGCTATCGAATATTAAACTGGACTGGAGAGAATACGACTGAGACCTCAGATTACTGCAAGTAGGATGGTTACCTTCTGTATGAAGCTAGACAATGTCCCCTGGATGAGGTATATTATTCACATTGGAAAGTTGGGAAAGTAGATACAATAATTTCTAGTGCTTGTATAAGAAGTCAACGTTAAAGGCAGATTTGTGACTGAATCCTTTTTCTCTGAGGTAGCCTCTCTGGGGAATGGAAACTTTAAACATGTGGGAGCCATAATTATTCCCATTCCATAGATGAGGACACTGAGGCTAAGAGAGGTTAAATGACTGGCCTAGGGCCACACAAGTGTCTCAGGCAGGATTCAAACCCTGGTCTTCCTCACGCCAAGCCTGGCACTCGCTCCCTGTACCCCCTCACTGCCTCCCCTCCCTGATGGGCCCTTGAGAGGATGCCTGGCTGGGTGGAAACAGCATCCCGAGTTTGAATCCTAGCTCTTGCAACTTGTGTGACCTTCAGCAAGTGCCTTCAACTCTCTGGGCCTCAGTTTCCTCACCTGTAAAATGTGGGGTTGGACTCAATGATCCCTGAAGCCCCTCTGATCTCCAATATGTGACTTCAAAGTATTTTCAGCCTTATCCAAATTTACCAACATAACAGGGTCCTCCCTTCACAACTCTGCTCTCACCACCTTGCACCATCAGCCCCTCATCAAGACGCTTCTATTAAAAGAAAAACTGCCCTGAAAACCCGAGATTAAAGTCAGTGAGAGCAAATCTAGGGAGGCCTCCCACCTTTTAGGCCTGATGCTGGGACATGACAGATCTATTGGTACGACCACTTAGATACTCAGACAATGCATTCAAGGTCCTGAACAACTTGGCCCGAGATCATTCTCTTCCTCCAAAGACCAAGGCTCAGACACTTCAGAGAAAAACCAGCCTTCTCTCGTTTCTGCCGCTGGAGCACACAGACAGTGCTGCAGTGTCAGCTGCCCCGGGCTGTGCCAGGAAGGCTCTGCCCTCAGAGCCCCTGGCTTCTAGCCTCACTCCAGCACCACTGCCTGTCACGGCAGGGCACCTTGGTGCCGTGAACACCTCCTCATCCTGTCTTCAAGCACGTCACTCAGATACACCATCACCCCACTGAGATGTCAGCTCTTTGAGGGCAGGGTTGTTTCTGCCTTTTCTTTGTACCTCCAGGATGCAGAAATTACTTTAAAAATGCTGCCGCTTGATAGATAAATGAGAAGAGGTGGAGGAAGAGCGATGTGTAGTGAAGAAAATCCTCCCACAGCTCTTCCCGAGGTCAGAACACACAGCAGCGCAGGCACAGAGTGAGCTGGGTACAAATCCTGTCTTTGACACATCCTGGCTGAGTGATCCACGTCCAGCAGCCCAGGCCCCTCGGAACTGCCAAGCAGCCTGCTGCAAGGACTGTGCACTTTCACTCAGCACACTGGTGACATCACAGATCTAGCCTCTCAGAACGTTGTGAAAAATCACCAGTTACAAAAACCTACCTGGAAATTCCAGATTTTGTGAAAAATTGAATTCCTCTCATAAGCCAACATTACTGTGGGCACTCAAACTAGAATCAGTGGCGCCTTAACGTGTGTGCATAAGTGCGTGTACACATACGTATACACAGATGTGTAGCTGTGGATGCACGCGCGCACACACACACACACTCTCTCTCTCTCTCTCTCTCTCCCTAACCCACCCAGCCCTGGCCCCAGACCCCCAGAAGGGACCCCACTCCAGGCCCAGACCGCTCCAAAGCCAGCAGCCAACATCTTACCGGGGGCAGCGAGTGGCGCCCACACTCAATGGTCACAAGCTTGTGGCACTTCTTGTGGACGAGCAGCTTACAGTTGATACACTTGTAGCCCTGACGCCCGAGGCCCCAGATCCGGTCGGTGCAGATCGCGCAGTGCGCTCGCTGAAAGGGACGAGAGAAAGACGTTTAGACAGACACGCGCATTCCTCCAGATGGAGATGCTGGCCCCCTAGAGTGGCGGTGACCCCTCCCTCCTCCTCATCTCAGTCCCCTTCAGGATCAGCATTTCCATCCTATGACTATAAAACAACATCCTCCTGCACCTACTCTTTTCCCAACACTGTATAAACTCAGAGAGAAAATGAAATAAAGATGCAGCCTTCAAGGAAAGTGAAGTGGGCTGCCATTTTGGTGTTGGTTATACACCTTGGACATTTCAGACTCTTTCACAGCTGACAGCAGGAAAGAGAGCTACTTCAGTTTGAACATGAAAAGTGTAAGGGAAGAGAAAATCACAGAAGTCCAGACAACGCCCCTAGACTGCTCGGAGGTCAAATAACAGCCCTGCCTTTCCAGCCGACAGCCTGAGTATCAGGGCTGCCGCCTATCCGCTGGGCACGAGCAAAGAGCGGTGGAGGTATCAACAAGTGTTGGTTATGCTTTTTGTATGTCACAGACCTGCCCACCCCCCACCTTTGGCAGTCTGGCAAAGCCTGTGGACCCCTTCTCGGAATGTCCTTAAGGGCATAAAATAAAATACATCAGCTCACAAAAGAAACCAATAACACTGAAAGAAAGATGTATTTTTTTTTTCCATCAAAGTTCACAGATGCCCAGAACTCTCCACTGGGGCCTTGGGCATCTGTGGACCCAGGTTAAGAACCCCTGATTTACAGGTGTGATTTTACAGCCTTATCCTAAATAACTGTAGCCTCATTACTTAAGCCAGAAGCCCAGGGATGTATAGCATCTAGAAGGGCCATGTGGAATGTTCTTGGAAGAGTCCACATGTGCACAAGTCAACTTATTCAAGCCTTTTCAGGTCACTGAGAGTGACCAGAAGAACCAGCCAGACATTGCTTATTCGACAAAAGGGTAAAAATCTAGTCTTTCTCTCTGCAATCAAAGCGATATGTGAAGGCACAGGGGAGGTGAGAGTGGGGTGGAGAGATGCTCGGTCCCAGAACCAAAAACGAGCCATCCAGGCCGGATTACCCTGTTGAACCGCTTAGCTTGGAAAGTGTGACCATTGGCACAATAGAGCTTCCTCCAGCGGCGTGCGCCTCGACGGTAGATGGACTCTGAGAAGGGACAAGAACAGAGAGGCCTGAGAGGCTGCAAACAACGTCCAAGCCCAAGAGGCAAAACCCAAGGACAACGGAATGGGGACGAGCCCGAGCCAGTGCTGGGGGACCGAGCGAACGAGACCCAGGCCAAGAAGCAGCGGCCAGTCACGTCCAGAGAAGGCCACCACTGGAGCACATCACTAATGCTTTTCACAGACATGCTGCAGCAAAGATTGGAGCCAGAAGCCCCCGTCTACAGTTCTGGCAAGCTGAATCCATGACACGTCCTGCCTACCTGATGTTACCACTAGGGTATAATCCCCCCGTGTCTGTAAATCCTGCTGTACTTTACATCATGTGCTCCCCACGAGGCTGGTGTCAGTCCTGGGAGAAGCAAACCAGGCTGCGTTCGGAATAAGGAGACAGCATCAGAATTAAATTCCACGCTTCTCCTGGTCAAGCATCTTCAGCGGCTCCCTTGTCTCCAAGGTCAAATATGAATTTTTCAGCTCGGCATTTGAAACCCCTCACAGACTGGGCCCAGACCACCCTCCAACCTCATCACGTCCCTTCACCTCCTCCAGGTCTAGTCAAACAAGCCGATGTGCACAGGCCCCAAGGCTCCCCCTCTTCACCTCAGGCTCAGAATCCTCACCGCCCTTCAGCTTAGCTCAGCACCACCTCCAAGGAAGTCTTTCCTGATTCCCTCAGTTGTGAGTGCATCCTCTCCTCCCCCACTTACCTCGTACTATCCGTACTCTTCTGTCTGGGCTACAACATCCCAGCAGAATGGAATCTCCCTGAGGACAGGGACTGGGTTTCTCATTGTTTGAGAATTTCTGGTACCTAGTACAATGCCTTATACACAACAGGGGTCATAACAGGGAGTTGAAAAAGCCCCGTTTAGCTTATTTTTTTTAGTTTCAGTTTCTAATTTATTATTAGTAAACCAGGCAAGGACTTTCCCTGACCAGAGTTTTAACTTGACTCCCATACTTATGGATGATTCTGGAAAGCCTCCTCGCTCTTTGGTAGCTTCATGAGTCTCACACTTGGACGTTCTGCGGCCTGAGTGGGAACCACAGTGCTAGGAAGGAGCCTTCGTGACCAGGGCCATCACGGCTCTCTGAGGGATCTCCCACTGCGGGTCAGAAGGTGCAGAGGGAAGCTTCAAAGGGAGACTGCAAAGTGTGGCTGGAATGTAGGAATCAGTATTCTGACAGGAGTGTCTGCCTTTTTGTGTGCATGTCATGGATCCTATGGATGGTCAGCATAGTGAAGTCTATGTACTCCCCAGAGTCATGTTCTTAAATGCAGAGATTCACAAAGGAAACCAATTATCTTAAAAGAAAAACGTAATTTCTTTTTCTCATCCAAGTCCTCAGATCCCCTGAAATCTGTTCCTACATGCCAGGTCAAATGGAGACTTGAACAGAATGAAAAACACGGTGAGAGACAGACTACAAATTCTGCTTTGATAACTAGCTTCTAAATGTCCTGGACCCACAAGAGAGAAATGATGAGAGAGCTCCAAAGCCTCCAACCTGCTGAAGGCCATGCCTGGAAAATGACCTGCAGGCCTGTCCTCCACTAGTCTGCAGTTAGAAGATAAACAGACTGAGGACTTCGAAAAGAAACGCTACACTGTATGCAGAGTCAGGTCCAACCGAGCCCCTCAATATCCTGTATGACCCTCTGCACTCCTGCATGGTCAGTGGCCCCCTCCAGACGCAACTACCAACAATCTCAAGCCTCTTCAGTTCTTGAAAGGACATCCTAGCCCTTCAGCTTACTCAGGACTGCCTCCCAGGATGTCTTTCCTAATCCCCTTACTAACTGGGCTCCCTCTCCCTCCTCCACTTAGCTTGTGCCATCCTCTTGGGTCTGGGTTATAAGTCCCACCCCTCTCCTTCACTACAGAGCCTCTTGACCAGCTGTCTCCATCACCTGCCTCTTCCTCCAGGCTTCTCTTCCCACCATCGCCCTCTCCAAAGATGCCCCACCAGGCCAAAGCATCAAAAGCAGAAGCGTTTCTTGCTGACACCGCCAAGCACTGGCCCCTTCTGGCAGTCACTCTCCTGGAACTCCCTCACCCAGCCCTCTTTCCCTGGCTCTTTGTGAGGCTTCACTGGGAGTGCTTCCCAAGAGCCCATCTTGGGTCCTCTGCCTCTCTCTAGGAGCTGGTCTGGCTTCAACCGCCCCCTCGACGTAGATGACCCCCAGTGCTGAGCTCTGGGCCCCATCCACACTACCCCAGGCCTCTCCAACTAAACGCCCATCGGCACCACAAACTTAACCTGCTGCAGACCTAGCTCACCTTCTTTCCTCCTCAACTGGCTTCTTCTGAACTATTTCTCCGTAGGGCATCACTAGGCCCTGGTTATGCATATTTATAATTCTGGGGTAATCTTTTGATTTTTTCCCTCTCCTATCTGCCTGGCACAAAGTGAATGCTTAATAAGTGCTGTATCTACACATCTATCTCTCTGCCTGCATGTCTGCCTGCCTGTCTCTGTCTACCTGTTTTGCCTGTCTCTCTGTCTCTCTGCCTATCTGCCTCTCTCTGTCAGCTTGTCCATCTGCCTGCCTATCCATGCCTCTGCCTGCCTGCCTGCTAGTCTGTGCCTCTGCCTGCCTGCCTGCCTGCCGGTCTGTGCCTCTGCCTGCCTGCCTGTCTCTCTGCCTCTCTCTGTCATTTGTCCATCTGCCTGCCTATCCATGCCTCTGCCTGCCTGCCGGTCTGTGCCTCTGCCTGTCTGCCTGTCTCTCTGTCTGCTTATGTGTTTCTGTCGGCTTGTCCATCTGCCTGCCTGCCTGCCTGTCTTTTACTTGAGGGCACCTCACAGTTTTTGTGTCATGGGCCCCTTTGGCAATCTGTTGAAGCCTAGTGACCACATTTTTGCTACCATCTTTTTAAATGTATAAAATAAAATACAGAGGAATGCAAAGGAAGGCAACTACCATGAAACAGTTATCAAACTATGATAAAAACATGCTGAAGGAGGCCTGCTTCACCTCCTCTAGCCGGCCAGGTCACAGGAATGGCCAGTTTCACCTCTGTAGTGTTTCCTCCTCTCCTCTCCACTGCTACCACCTGAGTCACAGGCCCTCACTTCACCCCCAGCAGGACCGTAGACCTTCTCCCAGACAGCCTCCCAGACCTTCACCACTGGACTTGCCTGCTTCTATGCAGCCAGAATAACTGGGTTTATCACATCACTCCTCCACTCAACAATCTTCTCCCTGTTTCCAGGCCCCCTCTCCAGCTGATCTGATATTCCTGTCTTTGACCTGGAATGTCACCCCACCCCCCACCCCACCTTCCTGACCTCAGACGTCAAATCGCATGACGGTTTATGGTTCCCTTCTGGTGTTCTCCTGAAGCCCAGGTATTAGAACCCTCAGTAAAGAGCTACACCATGAGGTCTTTGAGGCTCTGTCTTCCCTGAACTTCCTATCACCACCCATCCTGCCCCAGGACTTCATACAGGCCTCCACAAACCGCTGGTTTTTAATGAGTTTTTACAGCCCCTATACTGTTCCATGAATGCAGTGAATGGGCTGATGCCAGACAAAAATCAGCAGCCCTAACTGTCCACGTCTCTGCTCCATCTACTCTGCCACATCGTTCTGGTCAGTCCATCTAGGGCTTAAGTCCTTCGTTAATCCCCATGCAAATGTCATTATTACCTGGACTTCCACCCGTTATTCTCTTCTTCCCATCTCTTCTGTCCTGCCCTCTTCCCTTTTTCCAATCTAGCTGAATATAAGTCAACATTTCTCAAGTTTACATAAAGTCAAAGAATTTAAAAACTCTCAAAAGTCTGAAATCAAAGTCAGTGTCAAAGTCAAAAAGTCAGGTTCATTCATTTCCTATTCTCTTCCCAAACAGATACTCAGCAAAAAGCCAATGATTCTAATCTGGAATCTTTTTATTTTACAAACAAATTACACAGGACTAAATATCCTCGTACAACATGCCTGAATACTTCAGCCCATCATATTAACACCCAATTTACGCAGTGGGGAAAAAGCCCTCAGGTTTAACCCCACCTAAAATGAAGAATGAAGTGGTCTCTATTTCTTTCCTATGTGTTCCACAAGCAAATATGAGGTGACTCGGGTGCTGCGTCCCCTCATACACAAGGAAGACATGTTCAGAGTTACCTGAACTTGGTGAGGAGAAAGGGAGGCTGTTAAAAGCTGAAGAACAGGTAGAAACAGTCTTAGTTAGACTGAACACTGTCCCACCAAATCCAAGCAAAGTCACTTCAAAACTGCTATAAGGTACTCTCTAGTTAGTTTTTATATGAGTTATCACAATAAATAACATTTTACACTGAGACAGGTTATAAAAACACATCAACTCACTATCTTCTCCAGGACACGGCATTCCAGGCCTTTCTGGTACACACGGAAATACTGAAAGAAAACAAAAATAGCAAAAACTAAGATTAAGCCAGCATGTGTAGAAAAACATAAAATTTAAAATGTACTCATTCTCATGCCCTGAGAACTCCCGTGTCCATGAGGCTTCCAGTCTGGCCCTATCTAGCTGAAGCCATCCCCCGGCGTGGCCTCAACATGATGCGTCTTACACAAATATACTTCTACTATTATTCAATGAGAACCATGATACAGACAATGTACTCAGGTACATGACGATACGCCAACCAGACAAGTGGATAAATGTCATTAATTTACTCAATAATTTTAGGGAGATCACTTACCTTGTCCTCCTTGTCTTTTCTGACTGACCCGGGTCTATGATGCCATCAATGGAGGGAGCTTTCTTTCTAATTCTCACACTCTCTCTTTATTAGGCTGTGCTCGCTTGCTCTCTCTCTAATTCTATACCAAGGTATAATTAGTTCATTACAAAGAAGATTTAATGCAAATAGTAAAGGGCTTTACAAATACAAAGCCTTCTGAAAGAAGGTCCCGAGCACAGAGATGTCACACGTTACCCTGGTTAACATACCCATTGGAAGTATTATGTTAATATCGAAAAATATAAAAAAAGCACAGGGTCTGGAAATTTATAAACATTGAGTTCAAAAGAGATTACAAACAGGCTGATTAAGTGACCTAGTTCAGCCAAGGGGCCAGACAAAAAGTGGAGGTTAGGAATTAGAATGGCAAGCTTTATGCCAAGAAGTGAAACAGAGGCTAACACCATAAAAATAAAGGTGACACAATGCACTATTTAAATAGAAGAGTGGCTGCTCCCTACCAGTGAGCAAAGTTTCTGTTTGAAGTATTTACCAAAAGCATTTCAATCTGGGTACAAGAACAATACTGACAATCCTATCGTCATCTGCAAAAACATGAATCTTGGCTCTCCTGAAAGTTAAGAAAAATTATCCTACTTTAATTTTTTTTTTTTTAAGGAAGACAGCAGTCAATGTAGCTATGTGGCAGACTGGGATTAATGGGTTTTTCACTAAGCCCAGGAAAAGATTTGCATTTTTTTGCAAGAATAAGGTACCTCACAGTCTTTGTCTCCTGAAGCTGGGATAGGAATCCTGGGGGCCGGGCTGGTACACCGGCATCATCTCAGGTTCTATCAAATGGGTTTCATTTGTTATCAAAACCGTGACTGAAGGAAGGCAGGCAGACTACACTGGTGCTTTGACAGGAAAGCGCCTTTCGCCATCTCCTGCCTCCACACTTTAGCAGAGGCTGTCTGTCTGTCACCCTTTCTGGGAATGACTGCTTTGTCACTGCTGCCTCTGGAGGACATAAGTGCCGTGTCCAGGCTTCATTATCATTACTAAAAGATCGGCCGATGGTGATTCTTGTTTACAATCTAAGTGACTCGGGATCACTGGACTTTCGATTCATAGGTTTCCATCTAAGTAAGGAAGCACTGGGACAGTGAGGCGGCACAGTGGATAGAACACTGGCTCTGGAGTCAGGAGGACTTGAGTTCAAGTCCGGCCTCAGACACATAACACTCACTAGCTGTGTGACTGGGCAAGTCACTTAACCCCGACTGCCTCACCAAATAAATAAACAAGGAAGCATTTACAGGTGGTCTTTTAAATTGGGAAGACAGAAAGCCCACTACGAATTTTCTGAGATGATTCAGAACTGTCAGACTAGAGGTTTCAATAATCACTCAACGAGCATTTATTCACTGCACACCTACTACATGCCAGGCATCGTGCTTGGCACCGGAAATGTACAGACCAGAAACAAAGCAGTCGCCGTGGTCAGGGAGCTTACCCTCTATTAGGGAGACAACATGTATGTGCATAAACAGATACGAGACCAGCACGTGAACGCACCACAACCTGGAAGTGGAATGATAAGACCAGAAGCCCGAGTGTCAGGGGCAGACAGGGGAGACTGTAGTAAGGGAAAGCAATGAGAGCAGATGGCTTTTTCCTCAGATTCTGGCTGTGAGAAGGAGAAGTGACAGACAATGAGAGCTTTGGGAGATGGGAGGATCTGAGAGAGAGTTTTTTAATGGTGGGGGAGACCGGGGCATCTTTGTAAACAGAGAGGAAGGCTCCCACTTACAGGGAGAGACTCACACTAAAGAGGGGATTGTGAGAGCACTCGTGTCAGAAGAGGCAAAAGCAGAGGGGATCAAGGATAGTTGTAGGCGGGTTGGCCCAACAGAAGAGATACCAACCACTTCATTGGAGCCTGAAGTGAAGGAAAGACGGGGGTTGATGTAAGAAGGAGGTCACAGAGACTGGCCTCCAGTGTTACAGGAGGCCTTCAGCTACGAGGGGAAGAAGGGGCGACTGAGGGAGGAGAGAAGGTGGGGAGCTGCTGTTCTAAGGAGTGTGAGGAGGGAGGAAAGGCCTCGCTTTGTTGTAGTGAGATCAGTGAACAACTGTGCAGTGACCCAAGAAACATACACATAAATAGGGAGAAAAGGGGGAACCGAAAATCTGGCAGTGTGGCCAATGACCCTTTCTACTTTACCATGAATTAAGAGCTCTGAATCCTTGTTGAGTTCATAGAGCCTAAAGGCTTCCTCTAACTCCAGCTGTGACGAAACTGTGCACGGGTCTCCTAAAAAGATAAAACATAAAGCAAAGGTTAATTGGGAAAAAAATCTATGATGGGATAGGTTAGAAGCAATTTGCTTAATAGAGAAGCTCTCCAAGAAAAATGGCTTTTAATCTCTGAAAAGACATAAAATGATTATTGACATGTGGATGACTCTCTAGAGATGCTCCATTTAAAGGATTCTCTCTGAAACAAGCGAGACAATTAAAAAAACCCCGTTGATTTCTATTTCTCCAATGTCTCACAGGATACGCAAATACAAGATTATATATAAGAATTGGAAAACCCAGCTGATTTCTATTTCTCTGATGTCTCACAGGACATACAAACACAAGATTAATATATAAGAATTAAAAACCCCCCACTGATTCCTATTTCTTCAATGTCTCGCAGGATACACAAACAAGATTATATATAAGAATTTTAAAACCCTGTTGACTTCTAATTCTTTTTTTTTGTTTTTGTGACAGCACTTATTTATTTTTTATTTTTATTGATTTATTTTGCTTTATCAATAATCACTTCCATATTTTTTTGAGTTGAAAATTTTTCTCCCCCTTCCTTCCCCCCACCCTCCCCAAGACAGCACACAATCTGATATAGGTTTTACATTTACATTCTTATTAAACATATTTGCACATTAGTGAAGTTGTAAGTAAAAATTAAAACCAATAGGAGGAACCATCAGAAAGATGAAACAAAACTCAACAGAAGGTAAAAATAAGTGATAGCGATTCAACTTCCATAGCTCTTTCTTTGGATGCGGACAGCATTTTCCATCATGAGGCCTCTGGAGATGTCTTAGATCCTCATAATGCTGAGAAGGGTTCAGTTTAACAACATTAGTCATCGCACAACATGGCTGTTATTGTGTACAAAGTCCTCTTGGTTCTGCTCACTTCACTTAGCATCAGACCATATAGGTCTTTCCAGGTTTTTCTGAAGTCAGCCTGATCATTATTTCTTATAGCACAATAGTATTCCATTCCATTCATATACCACAACTTGCTCAGCCATTCCCCAACTGATGGGCATCCTCTCAATTTCCAATTCTCTGCCACCACAAAAAGAGCTGCTATATTTTTGTACATGTGGGTCCTTTTCCCATTTGTTTGATCTCTTTGGGATATAGCCCTAGAAATGCTATTGCTGGATCAAAGGGTATGCACATTTTTGTAGCCCTTTGGGCATAGTTCCAAATTGTTCTCCAAAATGGTTGGATCATTTCACAACTCCACCAACAATGTATCCAATTTTCCCACATCTTCTCTGACATTTATCATTTCCCTGTTTTGTCATGTTGGCCAATCTCATAGGTGTGATGTGGTACCTCAGAGTTGTTTTGATTTGCATTTCTCTAATCAATAACGATTCAGAGCATTTTTTCATATGACTATAGATGGCTTTAATTTCTTCCTCTGAGAACTGTCTGTTCATATCCTTTGACCATTTATCAGTTGGGGAGTGGGACTTCTAATTCTTTACGATGTCTCATAAGATACACAAACACAAGGTTATCTATCAGGATCATTTGTATTGGAGACTCACATCTAGCATGGCAAAGAAATACAGCGACACAAAAGCCCTCAATGACCACTGTCGCCTGACTAACAGGTATACCAAAAGCCAGTGCTCTGCTTTTTTCTTATCTGTTTTTCATAGGTGGGCTGCCATTTCCACAAGGTCTCTGTTGAATGGCTTGTGATAATCACACGACCTATTGCTTTTGCCACAGTTGGGTCTGCTGGCCCTCAGTGTCTTCACCTGTAAAATAAGGTGGTTAGACTAGAGGGCTTCTGAGACCTCTTCCACGTCCAGATCAGTAACCCTGTGATCCCTCCATCATTTCTTCTGTAATCCTTAGGCAGCTAAGAGCATCATTCTGAGAAGGGGACCACACACTTTGCCAGACAGCCCAAGGAGCCCATGACAGAGTGGTGAAGAACCCCTGGACTGGCAAGGACCTTCTTCCATGGACTGGCTCTTGCCAGCTGACAGCACAAAGATGACCGAGGGGACACCACCAATGAGACATCACAGCAGGGATGCCTTCACATCAACTTCCTGTGACGATGATTTACACAACAACAACACTGTAAAGACAAGCAGCCCTGAATGACTTAGGATCAGTGCAAGGACAACCCATGAATCCAGAGGACTCATAAGGAAGCAGGGGAAAGAGAAAATAGACTTTTGTTCTTTAAAAAAAGAATTACACTTAATCTCAAAAGGTGACGGTAATGATGGTCCTTAGTCCATGAATGTCTCTATCTGGCACTCCAGTAGCCCCAGGCCCTATTCCTATCTCTGAATCTGACTCTGGACTTCTTCTTACCTCTGGATTAAATATAAATTTCTATGTGGCACCGAAAGCCCCTCACTAGGGGGAGCTTGGTGGCACGGTGGACAGAGCACAGACCTTGGTGTCAGGAGATCCCGAGTTCAAATACCACCTCAGATGGCCTCAGACACTTACTGTGTGACCCCAGGCAAGTCACTTAATCCCAACTGCCTCCAAAAAAATAGAAAGCACGTCCCTCACTGACCTTTCTGGCTGTACACTACGTGCCTCTCCCTCAAACACGCTACAATCCAGTCAAACTGACCTCCTGGCTGTTCCTCTTCATACACTACATTCCTTCTCAATGCAAACACTGTGCCTACCCCAGGTCTGTGATGCACCCCCCCAGTCACCTCTGCCTCTCAGAAGCCCCAGATTCCTTCAAAAATCAGCCCGAACCTCCCCAGCTGCTGGGACCTCTTCCCCAGAATCACCTCAGATTCATTTTATAGTCAATCACTTTGTGTGCGCTTTTTTTTTTAAAGGCACTTGGGGTTAAGCGACTTGCCCAGGGTCACACCGCTAGTCAGTGCCAAGTGTTCGGTCTGAGGCCGGATTTGAACTCGGGTCCTCCCGACTTCTGGGCCGGTGCTCTGTCCACTGCGCCGCCCAGCCTCCCCTGCTTTGTGTGTACTTGTACACACGCATCTTGTCTCCTGTTACAGAATGCAAGCTATTTGACAGGTGGGATCATTCTGTTTCTGTTTTTGGATCCCCAAAGCTAGCAGAGTGCTATTCAGTCAGTCAACAAGCATTTATGAAGAGCCTACTGTGTGCAGACACTGTGATACAAAGAAGGGTAAAAGCCAGTCCATCTGATGGAGGGGGACCACATGCAAACAACTAGACAAAACAAGGCTGACACAGGAGAGGCTTGTGGCAGGAGACGCACAGCAGGCTCCTGCCATAGTCCAGACACGAAGGTCCAGCAAAGCATCAGCCCATGGGGGCGGCAATGCCCGAGGAGAGAAGGGGGCAGACGCAAAAGCTACCACGGAGGCGACACCCACAGGCTTTGGCAACGACTGGATGCCGGGAGAGTGAGGAGTCGAGGGTGACACGAGCTGTGAGCCTGGGAGGATGGGGCGTCCTACACAATAACAGGGAAGTCAGGAAGAGGAAGGATATGGGGAAAGCCACCGCACCAGTGCAGAGCACGGTGAGCTGAAGGTACCCAGGGGACATGCGGCTCAGGACATCTGACAGTCACTCAGAGATGCAAGCCTAGAGCTCATGAGAGGTTAGGGCTGGAGATGCAGACCTGGGGATCCTAAGCACAGAGATGACCAGGGAATCCTGGGGAGCTGAGACAGAGAAGATGAGAGGGCCCAGGACAGAACCAGGCTCAGTGGGCATGACCTGGATGAAAGTCAAGCAAAGGAGACTGGGCAGCAGTCCAACGTGTGTGGTGGTGTCCTGAAAACCTAGAGAGAAGCAAGGATCAAGGAAAGAGCAGTCGACAGGTCAAAGGCTTCAGAGGCTAAGAAGGGTGAGGACAGAGGTAAGTGGCACACAGTCGGTGGTTAGCAAATGCTCTGTTGTGTGAAACATGGACATCTCTTGCTCCTGCTACCCCTCTCCTCTATCTCATAAAGATCAGCAGCATCTCTCCCTCCACAAGGCCTAGGAGAAGGCCCAACAGGGCTCCCACTTCATCTTCTGGAACCCCTCACCCTATGGTTAACAAACTCTCCTTAAGCCTAGACGTATTCCCCATCCAGCTGCAATTACCACTGGTTCTCTCCTAGAGACCCTCATCTTTTGGTTCCTTCTTTGATGCTGGACTTTCCTCTTACCACACTCCCCCAGCCCCATCTCACAGCAACGTCAATAAAAAGAGCATCAAGAAAACATCTCCAAGAAAAACAATGCCGCCTACACTCCCTGATTCCATTAGCTCTTTTGTCCTTATGCTGTCTCAGCCCTGGTCATGCTCAAACATGGCTCGACCCCCACCTCCGTGCTCCTGGAAGAAGCCATAAAACTGGGCTACACGGACCCATTATCTGGCTTCACCGCCCTTAGCACCATGTTTGTGCAGCTGCATGCAGTTTGCAGGTTTGGGAGAGACAGTGTGGGCTTTGCTCGGACAGCCTTGCTGTCATTCCTCGCTCCAGCCCATCCTCCACTCGGCTGCCAAAGGGATCTTCCTAAAGCACAGCTCTGACCATGTTCTCCCCCTCCTCAATAATAAACTCCTAAACCTCCAGGATCAAGGCTTTGGCTTTTCAAGCACTTCCCAACCTGGCTCCCCAACCTTTCCAGGCTTCTCAGACCTTATGCCCTCTCCCACATACTCAGTGACACTCCTTCTCCTGACTCCAGGCATTTTCTCTGGCCGTCCTCCACGGCCAGAACTTTCTCTTGCCTCACCCTACCTCCTGGCTTCCTTTAATTAAGTCTCAGTGAAAGTCTCGCCTTCTGCTGGAAGCCTTCCTCATCCCCTCAGTGCTACTTCCTGGCCTCTGAGATTATCTCCAGTTTATCCTGGATCAACCTTGCTTGTACAGAGCTGTTTGCATGTTGTCTCCCCACATCAGAGGGACTGGCTTTTGCCTTTCTTTGCATCGTGGTGTCCGGCACACAGCAGGCACTTAATGAATGCTTGTTGACTTGACTTGCTGAGGTATCAGAGGAGGACTTCAGTGCAGGGTGGTCACAT